AACAGTCATCAAAGAGAGACCACTGCATTTAGTTAATGTGCAAAAACACAAGTTACTCTAATTCTAAAATGGTGTAATTAGCATCAATTTTAGAAGTAACTAGAATAATGATATGGGAAGTCTGGACAAAAGTATATGAACAGAAAGAAAACGTTTAGAACTCCTCCACACCTGTTTGACAGTTTTAGATACATGACCGTACACAGAAAAGAGTTGGCGTAGTAGTGAGTGTTTCTGCAAAAAGATATGTTAAGAATTCGTCAAGATGGAGCTTGAGGATGATGAAGCTCAGCTAAAGATATGCATAAAACTCTATTGAACTTGCAGCAACCAACCTTTCTAGCATAAGCACACCCAATCCCAACTAGGAGTTAATGTTGATGTTCGTTACAGAGATGCTCCGGAGGGCCAGTGTCCTGGTGAGCTCATAGTTGTAAATGTTCGTTACAGAATTGCTCCGGAGGGCCAGTGTCCCGGTTAGCTCTCTGATCGCTCGTACAATGAATGAGTGAGTGTCATATACACTACGGTGGTCAACACATGATTGACCACCGTAGCTTTGGGTTTCTTTCATGGTGATGATTGAAGATTTACTTCGATGTTCAACTAGTTAGATTTTGGAGAAGTCTCCCGTCTCTCTGACGATCTAAGAAAAGTGTGCGGCAGCTGCAATGGTCCACGATTGAGATACGCAGCATGCCATCCTAAAGCAACAAAAGCAAGATCTAAATCTTGAACGGCAAATTAATACGCACATTCGAGTATGAACCGTTCAGTGGAAAGTGAAGGAAAATTATTTCTGTAGACGCTGTACTGCGTCTAAAATGTGGGATACAAGTGGTGACACTTCCACTGCGATTTGCATATTGCAGGAAATCTGGCCATATATTTCATTCGAATTGCAAATTAGTGACATATTATACAACTGCAACAGTCTGTAAACTATGTACAAGAGCAAAGGATTGGGCTTCGGAAGTCAGTGGAGAACTCCACTGACCCACGGACCTGGTTGATCTTGCAATCAAAGCAGACCTCGATCTGCTTTAGTGAGAATACGAGATTTGGTTTTCCGTGAGGCTCAAGCTCTTACGACCTTACGTGAATCCAAGTTTTCCGCTGTACTTCTGAATCCTTCGTCTGTGTAAATATAAATATATATAAGCAGTTTAGTTTTATAGTGTTTGGTCTCATATCTGTACAGACGAGCTCAAAGACTTCTTCGGGGGACTCTAAAGTTGTACATCAGAGAAGAGCTCAGAGAACGTAGGCAAGGAAGACTTCACATCTCTCGATACAGGAAAGTTGGCCTATAACTCTATAACTCTATCCTACACTATGCAACCAATGCTCCCACTACTTTTGCACACTTTCGCAGTGTGGCACATATTACAACAGCAATGCTTTTTCTCTTGTTCCTGTGCTTCCTAGGTCTGTCTAGTTTTCTGAATTTATTTGTTACAGATGAACCGCCTCGCGTGTTCCATTCCACTCGAATCAATAGCTTTCCAGTCTAGCAGATAAAGTTGGCCATTTTCGTCGACTTGTCATATTATAAAGGACCAAAATGAGCACAGTTGTTAATACACTATTGAGTGAAAGAGTGACCAAAATACACTTTTTTTTATATATAAATGTTTAATATTTACTGAATAATTTAAAAATTCAACAAGCAGTGACATTTCTTAGTAGAATAAAACACATTACAGGTAAGTATTTTTTTTCATCAATAAATCAAAGATCATCAAACTACTAGTTTTCACTATCTTGCTCTGCCATTCCACATCAGTTTAATAAGTTTCATCAAACTCATAGGCACATTAATATCATAGGATATAATGCTAGGCCATCTTCTTCGCTGCAGATTATAAATCCACCAGATCTTCTGTTTCTTCTCTTTCGAGGAATCCAAAAACAGTAGGATGTCTGTGTTCATATTCGTCAAACACCATCAGGGTGTACAATGGATACTGCATTGCAAAAAATGAAATAAACGTATCAGTTTGCTGCTAGCAATCATCTACAAAGTATTCATCTTCATTGATACTAAGCTAAACCTGATACAAATGAATGATTCGCTATTTTTATGTCTTGATAATTTAGACGTGATCAAGGTATATAAAACAACATATATAGCACACATTGAGACGTTCAATAATGTCTTACAGGACTGGTTAAAGCTCCAAACCGTCTTTTTTTCAAATATCTTGCAGAGATTGCAAATAGTAAGGTAGAATATACATAATCATGGAACCCTGATGATAAAAACATCAAAATGGACAAGTAGAATATTACCTTATACTTCTGCGTGCCATGCGTTCCATCTATAGCAACACAACCTCCATTTCCATGTTTTAGCAACCAATCTAGGAGCAAGGGTCTTGTAACAGCAAGCCTCAATGGTTTAAATGTATCACTTTTTGGTGCCTGATACAAAACAACTTGAGATGAATTCGCTTTCATCCATAATTCTGTGCTAATTCTATCATTAGCATGCCTTCTCCAAGTTTCTTTGTCTAGTTCCAATTTGATATTATACACATCGGCAGATGTGATATAATGATCTCTAATAGGGGTCCCTTGCACATAGCCTAAGCGCTGATGATTTTAGAATAGTGCTTTTGCAGCACGCATGAGAATTTGTGGAGGAGTTAAACCTCTTCTTAACTCGCATTCAACCCACTCCCTGGCATAAGAACATAGAAAATATTAGACAACGTGCTTGCTTAGTGTCAAAGTTTTACAAACTGTAATAACAACAAACTTATTGTAGATATTACAAATATGACGGAAGATTGACTATGAACGATAAACAAATACATTGAAAATGTAACAAATATGACGTTACCTGCATTCAGAGGATAAATTGCGCGCCATTTGAGATGGCAAGCCAACACTATCCAAACACGCTGTGCCATGACAAGCTACACCTACAGCATTTACGTATCTTCTATGCTTGTATATCAATTTTGTGATTCCTGGTGGAATGTGATCATTAGACAGCAGTTTAATGGCACTAAACCTGCACTGACAGCCCTTGTGATGCGAATCATGATCTAGTCTATCCCTGCTGCCAGGACCAAATTTTGCCTTTGTTGATGGATCTTGAATAAAATTCGAGGAAAGCATACTCTTCTTGCCCCTTTCTGGAGTACCATACTTGCAATAATACATTGCATACGATTCCCAATTGTGCCTGGTACCTCCACCCTTGTATGAGCAACGTGTCACAAATTCTGTCTTCGCATCACTATGACAAGATCCCTCTCCCGAAACAAAATCGTTAAGCCTCGAGCTTTTGATGTAGGCCGTCCCATTTGACCAATTCAACATTAACGAATTGAAAGGGCCATCATAAGGTGGGTCCTGCACAATCCATCTGCCTCCATGCTGTCACCACACTTGCAAAAGCACCTGAAATGACAAGAAAAGTACAAGCACGAGCTCTGGCACGAGCTCCTCAAAGCACTGACACTGGCACCCAAAAGCGACGTCGAAACGACAAGCTGGAGAATATTGATATGATTCTATTTTCAAAAACCCTAATCTTTGCCGCTTAAAATTTCGTCGCCTCAATTTGTTATCACCGTTTGATTACAAATATTACAGTTTGAAAATTAGGGATTCCATCTGAGCCATACCTCTTGCAGTTTAGTTTTAGTTCCCGCAACGTTCCACGACACGACTGCGAGTATTTTTACGGCGTAGATCATTGCAACGCATTAGATACAACGTTGCGGCCTCTACAGTGACGACCTCTCTTCTACATGGTTGTTGGAATTTTATCCGGTTGATGGCCTCTACATGGTTGCCGGAATGTAGGGTCCGCCGACCCTCTCCGCAAAGCGCTCCGCCTCCCCGTTCCCAAAACTAAGATAAAATCCGGCTGATCCGGGGCAGCCCGAAGGAAGGATGAAGAAAGAAAGAAAGAGGAGAAAGAAACTGGGATCCCTGACACCTGGCAGTACGGCCGTTTGTAAAAGTTTGTGCAACTAAGCGAGTCGGGATGCAATCGGGCAACATCCGTGTAACAGCATTGATCTTCAAGTACCGTATGTAGATTGCTTACACACCAAGTGTGATACTCTAGTGCATAGCACTGGTGTGAGAATTCAATTGCAAAAACCTCGATATTTGGGGATGCAGTTTCACCGTAATCACATGATCACTCATCATTCTAAATAGAGACTGGTTGTCACCAATTCTTTTCAACGAACTTGCAGACACATTGACGATGTCTTCACTTTCCTCGGGCATAAAGGTATTACATCTTCTGCCCGGAGGCTACCGATCAAAGGCTTAAGGCCATCACAACCATAGATGAAGTTATGAGGAGGTAATGTCACCATAAGCAAAAAGCTGAAACTACAACCCCGTACCAATGTCCTTCAACTTCTTCTCTCCAAAGTCCTGGACTACTTTGGGGAGAGTAAATCAATCGGTGGAATTGAATCCCAACCAAGTCGCAGGAGATGTCGCTAGTTCTTTATAAATGGCTCCACAATCGAACTCTTGATTCTAAGTATACTGTTTTCATCTGGGCATCTTCCTCCTCTATCCAACCCAAACCCAAAGCCCCAAGTCCAGCCCCACACCCCCAAACCCCAAGCCCAGCCCCACCCCTGGAACCCCGCCCCCACCCAGCCAAGCCCGCTCGGTCCCGGCCCAGCCCCAAGCCTGCCCCTCAAACGCGGGGCTTGCTCGCTCGCGGGCGGATGAACAATCTATTTCTTCTCTATACGAAATTAATGAATATTTACCATGTTTTTATACATTTTCAAAAAAATATACAATCATTTAAGTTACACAACTTACATCAGTTATAGAATATTGGAAAAAGTTATGAAATGTAAAAAATTTTGCAAAAAATGCAACTTTGTAAATGAAAATAATCTAGTAGTCCTCAAGTTATGAACCGTGGCTGAATATAGACAGGGCCGGATATGTAGAATTGCACGCCCTAAATTCTGACCGGGCCTCGCCAATTTCGTCGTGTGAATGACAGAGAGGCTCTTCAGACAGAAATTGGAAACCCTCTATGTCACCTCCAGAGAGTCGGCATGGTTTCATGCACGACCCCGACTTCTGCGATGGTTTGAAATCAACATGAAAAGCTCAAAAAACACTGAAAGAAATCCCATGAATTCCCATGGTTATGAACTGATGCCACGGCGCACCCTTCCATTGACGATGTATCCAACTCGCCTCCCTGCAAATCCGGGCTTCTGCTATGAGCTCCGTGCGGTAGTCGTGACAAGTGTATTTGATTCCTCGGACGCGGAATGGAGGAGGTTGGACGCACTGCTGGAAGAAGGAGAATTGCCCCAGAGTAATCTTGAGTTCGTCTGAGTGATGATTTGTCTCTGAGGTTTACGAATTATGGCTGCGGTTTTCATGTAGTACGTAATTGCGGTGGGAGGATCAGGGAGCTTTCTTGCTCTTAGTCTACAAGGGAGTTCTTATCCCCTGTCTCTGATCGTCTGGTATCGATGTCGAATTCTGAGGTTCCCACGGGTTTCATAATTCTGGAGTTTCACCAGAATTGTGCTTTATACGGGAGCCAGAGTGATTCCTTTGAAAGTGTTGAGAGAATCCAAGCTCGGGAGCTGAAGAAATTAGATTGGCTAAGACTCAAAGACCAGCGATTCTGCAAAAAAGATCGGCAGTTGGACATCTTAGTGGAGAAAAAATTGTGAGGAATAACTTGCCAGTAATTTCATTTTTCATGTGTAAGGACAGTCAGTGATTACGCTTTTCTCAATGCGGGTTTGAATTTACACTTGCACAATTCACTGAACCAAGTGTTACGCAGATTGGAGAAATTCTCAACTTACTTTCGTGCTCTCAACAGCTTCAGGTTGGTGAAAAGCTTGATAAAAATATCTTCTCCATAGCAGTGTTTTGTTTGATCACCTATTGCTGCAGTGACTGCATTTGTATATTCAAACATCAGGGTAACTTTATGAGCTATTGTCATGATTTTTGCAGGGAAGCTGACTGCGAACGAATCATCGTCGACTGGGATGTTGCTCTTTTTTGCATTCTTCTAGAAATGTTTCATTCTGGTCATCTTGATATCTTAGCTTCCAAAGTTGCAGCTCTGCTTGAGGTGAGTAGAGCAGATAAAAACGTCTACCAAAACTACACATTCTGAGTAGTATTCGTGCTTCGAAGTTTTCTGTATACAAGTTAGTTCTCATCGCAGCTCACGACAACATCAGCGGGTTGTAATTGTCATTGTCAGCTTGATAGAATGTGTCTTTAGCCCCACTTCGAAATCACTTATAATATATTCCGTATGTTTATATCCATTTTGGGACTGGAACGGAAATAAGTGTGGGCAAATTTCATACTATAGCAACAAACTATTATCACCCAAACTAGGTGAATTAGAATGTCGAGCTATAAAAAATGAGAAGAGTTAACACTGAGGCTATGAATGCGTCTTTCTTAGTCAGGTTACGTCGAAACCTAGCTTGATGTGGCCACTCAAGGTCAATTCGTGTCGGAGGGCATATGCCTTGCTTGACTGCTGAAGTGTCTCTTTTTTCACAGACTTCTGTGTTCTTTGGAGTCGATGAGGCCATCATCCGAATAAATGCTTGGATGACTTTAACCTTTTCAAGCAAAGACCCAAGAGAAATTTTATCTGTGCTGAAAAGTTTACCTGTGATCTGGGATGCAAGCCATCGATTTGGTGAGCTCATACTTAATGTTGTGTAGTTGCGCTAAAGTTAGTAGTTGAAGCCAGTTAATTCTGTTCGAGTGCTTTTCTAACATTAGTTTTGCCTGTGTTGTGAGCAGGACATTCTTCTTTGTTGAATTTCTGTGTAGAGTTTCTGGCAGTCAATTTTGTGAGTACTCCTACACCGAGGTGTCTTTGGACCTTTGTTCATAATGATCAATCAGCATTTTAGACGAGAAGAACAGAAGAATTTCACGGAGTACAATAGGAAAGGAACTTGTTCAAGAGGAATGTGAGATGGTGCTGACTGTCTGTTGTCGGTGGGATTTGAGGAATAATCTAAGACAAAAGGAAGTTAGTCTCGAAGAGTGGAGTGAATTCTAGTGCAGATATAGCAGATTTGTTCTCTTACTGAGATAAGGACACAGTGTTCATACAGCCAATTAAGGAGAAACTGAAAGCAGCGTTCTAATCTTATTTCGATTGAGGTGCGAAAGAGTGGGGAGGATGCCCGAGCATAATTTGTTTCGAAGAATGGTGCAGTAATTGTGGCATGTAGATACATCTCCTCAGGTAGAATGTTGTTCACCATAGTTTTGTTTGAAGTCCTGACTGCCGACCCTCATCAATTGCTCGCCACTTTCTGCTTAGTAATCGATCCGAAAAAAGAGGAGAGTTTAAATCTGAGCAGTCCTTGGTTTTACTTGATGACTATGGATTGGCTTTAACTGCGAGTAAAAATTTCATATATTATGTATATATATATTATATATGTATATATAATATATATACATCACCTGTTTGATTGCTTTTGTAAGCGAGACTAGATATTGTTCTTTTATCTAAATTTTGTTACAGATGGAGGCAAGATCCATGTCTTCTTTCAACGACATTCCACATGGACTACTGAGTGCCTGCGTCGACCACATTCAGCTGACAGTCCACAGGTGCCAAGAGGGTCCTTGGTTCAGCTGTTAAGTCAAAACTTCAAAATTAATTTTAGTGCTTTCATCCTGTCATCTCCTCTTGTGGCATGATCGTACAGAGAGAAGAAAGCATTCCTTCCAGAAAACGTTTTATATGTACATCAAATGTTTTCTGAGTGAAACTTCTGAAGTTTGTAGGTTCACATTGATTAACTTGTACTGTATGTAATCAAGAGGCTTTTCGTGCAATATTTACAGATCGGGATTTATGCGCAGTACTGTAATTATTGCATCTGCCAGCTCGCGCACTTTAAGTCGCTCTTCTTGTAACCAGTAGCTTTGTTTTTCTGTCCTGGTGTATAGTGAAAAGGACTTGTTTGATTCCCTGCGATGCTGGTGTGAAGGGCAAGATTGGGTTGACGAAGCTGAAGAGATTATTAGTGAAAGAAAAACGAGCATCATGAACAAGGTAGTTGAGCATCACACTGTTGAGAAGCTTTTGATGGAAGACCAAAACTCAGGAGTTCATGATGCAGAACTTTGTCTAGGGAACACTGTTTTTTTTTTCCGCTTCAATCCTATGTAATTGTCATTTTCTTTGTCGGTCCAATTGGCTTCTCTCTTTCTGATCGAGAACACATATCCTTTCGGATAGCCAGGTCTTTTTGCATTTTTCTGATAATAACCTCATTGTTGTTTTCCTATGTGCTCTGTTGGACCAGATCAGGACTTCATTAGTTCCGCTATCCGTTTTATTAGGTAACGACCTTTGGATCGTAAATATTGCGAGTTAATTATAGTGCGTACCTCTAACTCTCCTTAACACATTCATGTGGTGGAAGTGAACCCTGAAGTGCTGTTTCCAGCAGGAGATATGTTGTATCTGCGATCACAAGTAGTTGTGGCATGGATTTTGAAAGTGTCATTCCTTCATAAACTTTACTCGTAATCTTTTTCTAAATTGACTGCAGCATATTACCCTTCGAAAAATTGCCTGGATTGCAATAACCGAACAATCCGAATAACGAACTACTTGGAGGTACATACCTAACCTGGGAATCCTTGTTCCAGCCACAGTACACTTACATCTATCTCATAAAAAATCTGACAATTAGATGTTCTGTTTGGACTGATTAGACGAGAATTTTGATTCTTTTTATCTTATTTGGGACTGATATTTAGAAACAATATGTTATATGTCTTAATAGGTTACTTAACTGCTTTAAATATTGTGGCAGAGATGAGGTTTTATGAAAGATTAACTTGTGACATCTGGACTTTGAGGCCAGGTGTGGAAGAAAGAAGGGGACAGAGTTAGTAGTGTCGCTTTCTAAGTGTGAAGATGGAGAATGCATTCCCACTTATGGATTTTCTGCAGTATTTGGACTTGTCAGGGTGCCATGAAGTAGACGATGATATGCTGTTTCAGTCATCCTCAAGCGCACCTCTGCCCGCTCATTGTCCTTCTGTCCCACCTGGAGATATTCCGCAAATGCTTATGCAAATGCAAATTATTGAAAGCCCCTTTCCTGCCTTTCGCTACACAGAACCGGTTCGAAACTCTAAGTGGCCTGTGATTCCAAAGTTCGAGAACCTCAAGATTTTAAACCTGTCTTATTGCAATAAGATTTCTGAGGATGCCTTACTCTTGTGGTTAAGAGAAGCGTGCCCGCAGCTCACAGAGTTCTACGCCAAGAATTGCCCTCAGATTGGATTCACCTTCTTGCCGCATCTTGCCAAGGAGTGTCCGAACCTGGAGACTGTGGATATCTCTCTTGACATCTTCAACTTGGAAGACAGAAATGTCCATAGAATTTTAACTGAAGATGAAAATGAATGTCGTTTAATTCGACGGAATTACCTTCTTTGGGGAGTTTCTCCCATGTTTTTGTTGAGCAGTTTGTCGGTTCGAGGACGTTCTGAAGTAAGAGGTATGGACATATTCACTTAATGGTATTCTCGTCGCTGAGATATTGAGTTGTTGTTGAAGTGGTATTGAAGTGATCCTTATTAATTGGGCCATCAATTAGAAACCGGGTTAACGCAAGTATATTCCAATATATGGATTACCTTGCCTGTTTCCCACCCGAGAAATTAGATTCTCTTTTTCAGGCTACAATTTTTATTCTTTCATGACATAGCTTCTTGATGTACCTAGATTCGCCTCCCAGAGAACAATAGATCTGCTTGCGATCTTTCTGTGCTGCATGAGATGAAGACATGTGGTCAAAAGTCTTTGCAACATAAGATTTGTATTTCTTTTTATGTTACATCGTGGTACTAGGTCCTCGGATACATGTCCACAGGGATACATGTCCACATAGGGATAGGACTGGATACATGTCCACAAAAAAGTTGATTCTATCTTATAGAATATTATTATAATATTAAAATAAGCTTGTATGTTTGTCTCAGCCGAGAAGTGAAAGTCAGTGCCAGCTTATAGTCGTGTATCATTGGATTGCAGATAGCGTGTTCAACATCATCGCTGCTAATTTTCGAGGAGTAGATTTAGATGTGAGCAACTGCAGGATGTTAACCGATAATGGTTTCAGCGAGGGATTGAAACGGTTGCCGCAAGGATTACGTTCTTTGAAAGCTCAGCGGACTTGTTTTGGACCTGAAGCATGCAAAGTGCTTAGTTCACCACCAGTTACCGGGGGTGTTCGTAACGATCTGACTATACTGGATCTGGAGTCTTGTCACGGTGATTTATTCAGAGTCACAAACTTAGTCCATATGCTTTCGTCAGCTTTTGGAAGTTACCCACATGTACTAAAGAACTTTGTCTCACTTCATTATAGTCTTAGAAAATTCCAGTTTAGTTTTCTCGAATCAGATTCTCACACTTCCCTCTTTATTTGTTCAGGTTTGACCCCAGAAGCAATAGCGTCGATATTGAAGACGGAAACTACTCTCTCAACTTTGAATTTGGGTGATACTACACTCGATGATATTGGCTTGTACCTTTTTAAGGGGCATCGACTACGAAAGCTGTGTGTGAGAGATACGAAGGTGATATACGTTATTATAAGAGATTCCATGTGAAAATTACATGTTGGTGCTTTGTTGCCTTTCTCATCTATCGAATGAGTGGATGAACTTGGTTAATATCGTTAATAACTTGAGACGTTGTACTTTGCTCATATTCTATTTCCAAGCATCTAAGCAGACTCGTTACTCTCTGCGCAGGTTTCAGCTAAAGCTTTAAATTTTGTCCTGAGAAACAATCCGGGATTGGTGAGTTTAGATGTGAAAGGGTGCAAAAGCGCTTGCATCGATGAATACGAAATACTGTTGAGCGGGGTTGATGACATCGAAAGCCAGAAGTCCCCTAACTCTATTTCCTCTATCTTTCGAGAGCTCGAATCTCTTCATTTACTGGAAGACTTTGAAGTTGGTTGGAGGTTTAGCCAATTAGCTTTGGAGGCCATGAAACCATCTACGAAGCGCGTCAGGAGGCTAGTCGTTGGAGTTGGAGGTGGAATTTGTAATATGGGTTTGCAGAAGCTTTCCAACTACTGGCCATCTTTGGAAAGACTTAGTTTATCATTTCAAGTAAGTTCGGCTTTGAGCCCAGTTCTGAAGTAAGTTGAGCCCGCTCTTTCTTTCTTGTCAGGGGTGACTCACAGCCGTGAACTGGTTATTTGACTAATGTCTTGCAGTATAGCATTGTGGTTTACAGCATTAGTTCGTGACATTGCAAGAAAACATTCCGGTTCTAGTACTCCTAACTGTTGAGTTGGTGTCATCTAGATAATCGATGACGATGGGATAATTCAAATAGTAGACAGATTACGTTCCCTCCAGATTTTGGAGATTCAAAATACGATCAGTCATGTTACCCCAAAGGGTGTTGCTGCTTTAGTTAATCGGTGCCCTCCAAAGCTCGTTCGTTTAAAACTGGACAGAGTTGTTACTGGGATAACAGATGGTGATCTTCTTCAGCTGAGCAAAAAATGTAACAAATTAGCCTCTTTCTCTCTGGTGGGCTGCACACAGTTGACCGCAAGTGAGTCCTAAATCTTCTCCCCATAAAATTTACGAACCCCTGCTTCTAACGGTGTGAAACATTTTTTTATCATGTCTTCGTATAAATTGCAGGTCCGCATTACGAGTTGTCATTACGTTCACACTGTGTGTCTGATGTGGCAGGTTCATTGGTTGCAATTTCTCAGAACATGCGTGCTTTGACTGAGTTAAAGCTTGAGGTTTTCTCTTTCAGCCTGCAACATGAAACAATATCTTACTTGTGAAAACTATGCGTTTGTTCATCCCTTCAAGAAAGATTGATAAAGTGGCCTATAGAGGCAAATTAATCTTTCCATGATTGATGAAATTGTGCTGCTGTTTGGGTACAGTTTGGTTTTCTCTTTTTTGTCCGTCCAACTTTTTCCTCATGTTGTTTGCACGCTTCTAACTCCCGAGTACTGTATCTACAGGAATGTGACGGTCTCACATCCAGTGGAGCTCAATGCTTACTTGACTCATGCAAGGCGCTAGAGTGTTTGACTCTTCGTCATAATGTGAGCATTGTCATCTCTATCAAGTATCATAATGTTTTGGATTTTGATTACTTCTATAAATTTGGAAGTCATTGTACTGAGGACGCCTTGTAAGGATCGCTCTCAGACAGCATGCAACTCGCGTGTCTCCAGGGAAAAGGATTAGAGGATTCTTTCGTAATGAAAGCCAAGGATGAGGTAATTTCTTTTCATTCTCCACTCTGCAAGCGTGTAGATTCCCGCTATTACTTGACTTCAAGTAGTAAAGAGCAGTTTCAGCTCCGTATGTCTAACATATCTTTTCTGCCCTGCTTACTCGCAGCTACCCTATTTGTGGTTCTTATCGCTGGATATGTGTGACTCTCTTTCCAGCAGTTTTGAGACGCCAGAAATGGTATGAAAGTCAAGTCCTTCAAGCTTTAATCCATGACTGATACTTTTTATGTGGACGATGTAAAATGTAGTAGATGTTGGGACATTAGCAGTCTTCTCCCTATAAAGTGGTACATGTATGGAGGGTATCCTCGTTCGATATATTGAGGTTGTTAAAGTTTCTAGGTTTGTCAGATTGTTTTTATGCATCTTATTCTCCTGCTGTGTGACTAGATCTTATCACCATATTCTTGTCTTGTCCTCCTGGTTGATTATGTATGTAAACGTCCAAAGGCAGTCCTTGCACAGTGTGTCTAAGACTGGAAGTCAGGCTGATGGAACAACACGTCGTTCAGCTTGCAATGCAAACGAACTCAACAGGATCTTAATTAAAACATTTTCAGTTGTATTTTGGTGTGAAAGCTGCCAAGTCCTGCCTAGTCGGGCGATATTCAAGTGGTCCGCGCTGTCAAAACTAGAATGGGTTCATGTGAGTCTAAGGTCATGACTCTGACTGATGGTTTTTCTGAGTGGTGGAACAGGCTCGTCGTGAAAGCCCTTTGAATACTGCTCTGCTCTCTCGATGCAGCTCTCCCGAAACGGGAGTTTTCCCTACCGCGTCAACGTCCAGGAATGGTCGTCCTCAGAAGCGAATACCGAGGGATACTATTGTTTTGCGATGGACGAGAGATCTGACACTGGCATACTCAACAAAGACGAGGATCTGAAGGATGAGATTGATAGTCAGCCACTGCATAAGCACCGAAAGTATCAAACATGTACAGCAACTTGTAGCGTCTATCATCCTCCGGTTTCAGATTTCTGTGTGACCTCATATAACAGAAACTTTCTGTCGTGGTTAATGGATCCCTCCATTCTGAAGGGTGTCCTGATTGCAGGTTTGCAACCTTTGACTGCAGGTTTCAATTGCTTTAGATCGGCCAATGAAGTGAGTTTCAAATCTTGTGCTCTGCAAGAGGAATACAAGAGAGAATCATCTTGTTTTGAACAAACGCTTTAGCCACCATGTACATGCAGCCTTTGGAAAGCTCCTTTGAATCACATTCGTGTGAGTTCGGTTTGAAATTATGCATCTAGGCCCGAAGGAAAATCTTCCCCAGATGTTGCACTAATGTCCAACAATGTGCACAGTCAAGATCCATGCGGCCCACACAAGTTCATGAAATAGACCCTCAGTGAGATACCGGAGCGAGGGATGTGCAGATGTGTAATAAGGTGTATGCCTGTTCCGCGAACAGAGACTGAGCTGCTGCATTGTTATACTTCCGACTCGTAGAGTGGTGGGAGCATGAACCTTCAACGCCCAGAGAGGATTGTTATTAGACTAGTTCTTTGCTCTTTGTCTACACAAATGACTTGATTCTGGCTCACTATGAAAGCTACTAGCGAGCTGAATGCAGAAAATCTAATTGGTCTCACAATCTCGTGGTCGATTACCAAATCAGAGTCTACAGTATCTTACAGATCAAAATGTGTGCAAGTTATTCATACCTTCGGAGGTTTGTAGTCGAAACTAGCTACGGGTTGACGGTTCAGAAAAAGTATCAGCAAACGGGAGTATTGTAGGGACACTAGACTTCATGATGGACGCTGCGTAGAATATCACAGGTGCAGATTTTTATTTAAGTCCACCGCGTAGTGAAGCCTTTCTTCACGGGTTTTGCAGTTCAGCTGTTGATCATATGAAGCTTTTGCCGACGTTCGGATTTTTACTTCATGCAGACGAGAAATTTCTGAGGATATAAACAAGCTTGTTATTCGAGGCTTTTGATGCACATATCATTAAAGAAGAGTAACGACTTATGCTCATGTTATTGACTAAGTCTTTGGTTTGAGTATGCGCTGGACGATGCAGTCATTGGAAAATGTGTATCTGGTGATTGATTTGGACGCAGGTTTCGTCATCACTTATGTTGTAGTAACTAGATGTATGTTTGAACAGGAGGTGCTCGTGGCAAGAGTGATCGTCAGTCGTCTTGTCACATTGCTTTGTTCGTGGTAGCCCTACGAGACTTATCTACGCTGGACCTTACATTGCAGGAATTGGTAGATATTCATTCACTGTTCTGAGATATGATCCTCGTTGTTACATTTTTCTTCCAGATGTATTGCCAAGAGTGATAATAACCTACAAAATTGTAGATTGTTGTCACTCCTGTCACTCCAACATTATTACTAGGACTATGAAAAGCCACACTAGTAGCAGATTCGACATAACATGGTTCATTCCTGAATTCAATTCAATACAATACTGAGGTCCAATAAGAGTTAGTTCGATGCTTGTAAGTCAACAATTAAATTTCACTCCTGGGCAATCGAAGATTCAATTGCATGATCAATACCCAAAAACAATCATTGGCACAGTGCTTAGTTGGATTCGCTTTCTATCGAACTATACGAACTCCGTGAGACCCACTGGACTCTTGCTAAGGTTTTAATGATCGCCAAACCCCAACTTCACACAGTAAGAATTACGTATAATTATAGTTAATAATCAAAATTTTTCGTTACAAATAGTAATTGTGACGAATAATTTTGTATTTTAATTTACTATTTGTATGTTGCATATCAGGATCGATTATGGGAATGTCATCGTATTGGAGATGGAAATTCGGAGTTAGGGGGGAATTTGTGTCTTTTCTTTGGTTAATGTTATAAGGAGAACCTGCGAAATTTAGTCCTCGTTCTACTGACGAGGAAATGCCAAACCTGCTTCGTCTTCATTGCGGGGAGAACGCTGTTAACGAGCCCGGGGATGGTCAAATGCATTCGCCATAGCCTCAAGAAGCAGGGGCTTCTGGGCTCTTCATGCCATACTGCGTGGGCCAAGAGTACCATAATTGGTCATAAACTGCGTTTCTTAATCAATCTGTTTATATCATTTTTCTATATAATAATAGAGTAATCTACGATTTCTTACATTATTTAAATTTGAGCTTTTCTTTAGAGAAAATATCACTTTCCTTGCTTCATCAATAGTTGAACAAAAGCTAAAACGAAACGTAATTACGTTTCGTAATTTGTTTTCGACATTAAAAAGAAAGCGATTTATAGACTTTTGTATATTTTTTGGGGGTAAATTTCGATGGGTAAGTAAAAATACTGTAATTTTTGTTATTTTATAGTAGAATGTATCTTGTAAAATCGATACAAACATTAGTGGTATATTTTGATACTACAAACTTTGTCTAAAGCACAAATAAATTGAACAAACCAAAATCGTTTTCTTACTCTTACTGGTCAGATGGCCATCATTTAAGATGAGAGTTGTGGAGTTCTCGATTATAATTAAACATAGACTATTAATAATTCACACTGAAGTGTCAGCTTCCAAGGTAAAAAAATTAAACAAAACACAAATGTTGCCAGAGTGTACGCTGGAATCCGAGATTCCGGCAGGAGTGAAAGGGAAAGTGCAAATCTTGTGTCCCTGCTCAGTCAGTACACATTGAAAAGTAGGCTTGGAATAATAAGCGACATATTAAATTAAATACTTATAGGTAATCAAGGGAATAAATTTTCTCTGACAACGATGATGGGTGAAAGTCAAAACGTGAGTGCAGACTGGATGTTATTTCTAGAACTTGTTTTACATCGTCATTCACTTTGAAGAAGAAGTTTCAAGTTATCAACCAATTGACATCATTATTATGATGCTCATACGATTAGGAAGCAATCTGAATACTCCAATGATTCGTGAGAGATGTGAGAATTTCATCCTCCTTGTAACCGAGCAGCGCACTAGGGATTTTATCATTTTCATTATTGGGGGTTTTCAATACCGCACCCTAAACAAGTTGAAGACAACATGAATAGATTATGGTGACTGATATCATTTTAAGCCTTAAAAAACATGGACATAGTAGAAGTTAGTACAAATCAGTTTTGTGATACTTCTGTGCACATGTACAGAAATTGTATTAGAAATAATTTGATGGTACCCCTATTTAACACAACATGCTTATTGGGATCTAACAAATATGAGATTATTCTATGGAATCCCCAAGGCCTTGCATCCCATGTTCCAAACGAAGTTATTGTAACTTTATTGTTGGGGCGATATAGTGTGGGGAGCGACTGCAATATCGGATCACCTTAGTTTTACCTTCGGCAAAGGTAATGGCAAAGACAAATTATTGTGATCTAAACACGTAACGAACTCTCATTTCCAGATCTCTTGGGATTTTTTTGTGTTATTGTTTAGGTGTGCAAGAAAGAGAGTGCACAATGTGCATAACAGCTACATTGTTGGGTTGGAGCCCTACAATCCCTAGTTATATTGTTCTAAAGCAATTCATTCTTGCGAGGCGTAGGCGAGGCATTGAAATAGAGTTGTGTCTTGATCTTAAGTTGAGGCTAATTGAAGTGATACAGGTAGAATCCAATGATGTAACTAAGAGTTAAGAGCAGAATGTCTTCGGGCTAAAATGTACTCTGAGCGACCAAAATATCCAAAGCCAGCAAACCCAGCAAAGCGAAAGCAACCAAAAGAAACAGAGGTACCTGAAACTTTCTCATGTGATAATCTCTTTCTCTCCGACATGAAATGGTGTCAGGATTCAACTTATGACTGCGGGTGGTAACTTGTGACTGTTCAAATGCGAGTCCAGCTACTTTGAAAGAGCCAGTTTTTCCCTACTACTTTAGGGCAGAGAATAACTAGGACGTGCATGAACTGAGTTCGTTTATGCAGCTCAACATTGGAGACGAGATGTCAAGGCTAGAGTTGTTGGCCGTGGTACCGTGGGTGAAGATTGAGTGCGAGTATCTGCCACCGTATCCAACATCCGCATAATTGATGTCTGCTAAATATCCCAAATATAAAATCTCAATCGCACGAACTTCATGTCAATAAAACAAGACTGTTCTCTCACCAAATGAAATAAAAGAGCAAGGTAATGTGGTTCTTATCAAAATAGTCAACTATCTGATATTACGTCGATCATCATCGATCGCACAATTTGGCTGAGTGCACAATGTGCACATAGTTCGTGAAAAAAACGTTGCAACTATTCTGTTTTTTTCAGCGAACTGTGTGAGGTTTCAAGCAGTTTTCTCTATTCTTTTGATTTTGAGTAAGCAAATATTGTCTGCTCAGATCTAGGTTTTTCAGCTATGGAGCATCAAAAAGGTCTTGACTGTTTTTGCGTTGGATCGCAAGTGGAACTCTATGAGATTAATACTTGTTCTCTTTCTTGCTCAAAACACCCGCTCAAATGTCTTGATTGATTTGCGCCCGTTGCAATGTTGGCTCGGTTTAATACTATTGTTCAACACCTCAGTCGCTATTAGATAATATGTGACGGTGTGACCTCGGTGGTTGGGTCCGAGTAAACATGTAAGGTGAGGATACTATTAAGTAATTTTTTGGAATTACATGGTGGAAACTGGAGCAAGAAATATAATTTGCATATAATGAGTTTCATTATATGTTATATATTGAATGTGCATAATGATAAACTTTGCTGAATTAAAAGATATAAATTTAGAGTATCAGTATTCATGTGGATGCAATGCAATGCAATGACAAAATATTAACTAAAACACTCCTTGAAAGCATGACGTGGGAATCACATCGCTGTGTAACAGTAGATAGGAAACAAATTAGATAGTGGTGTAAAGGTAGTAGACCGTTGAGTTTATCTAATAAATTGTTGGTGCTATTAATGCAAAGGGCAATAATCAAGGGCTTGCTCACAAAGATCATTGTTTTTTTACATGGTATAAGAGCAAGGAACAAAAACACTATTATAGAGAATATAGTGAATTCTACTCCTATTCTCTTAGGTGATATTTTATTTTTCAATTGTGTGTATTACTTTATCATGGATGCAGATAGTAAAATGATGCTTGTAGAGAGAGCAACAAGTTGGTGGGGGAGTCCAATTATCACGTTTGGCGACTGAAGATGCGGTACATGCTTAAACGGTTTGACGTCTAGTAAGTGACTATGAACAAATTTGAGATAGTGGAAAGCTCATTTGTTACAATCAATGTCATACTTGTGAATGAGATCCAGTTGATGAAACTAAATAACCTAGCACAAACAGTGAATACAATGTCTGTAAGTGATGATCTCGTGAACTTAGTGTATGAGAATGATGATCTGACTGATGTTTGGCAAGTGCTGGAGAGGAATTTCCAGTCGGATGATCAAAGACAGATACTTCTCTTGTCTCAAAAATTACATTCACTCAAGATGATAGAGAAAGTATCAGTTACACAATACATTTAGAAAGCGAAAGAATTAAAGAACAAGCTGTCGTCTAAAGGAGAGGCCATAATAAACAAGACAATTGCTTCAATTGTTCAGAATGTAATGTGACGATCTTACAAAGAAGTTAATCAAGACATTGATGCTTTAGAGGAGCTGACTTTACTTAAAAAAACTATCTCCAAACTTTTTATTAAAGTACATAGACAAGAGATAAGAAATCAACGATTTGTAGAAGAAGATGTAGCTGTAGCTCTGCAATGAGAACATGCACCAATGAGACGTGAGTACATAAGAAGGTTTTAATGGAATGGAGGGCAATTTGATAATCGTTGATACACGGAAGGAAGGAACGGACCTTCACGATCCTAGTGATACCATAAGGCTCGTTGACGTACCATTCTTGCTTGTTGAATGTGTAGCAAGGAAGTGCATTTTACTCCTACTTACTCATAAAGGAAGTTGAAAGGAGGAACTTTAGGAGAGCGACAAGAGTTGATCTCTTGAAGGTTTCTCTTTAAGGTGATGGAGTTGAGCCACAAGAATCCATCAACTTCATCATGCATAGCAGTTTTGTACGATT